TGTGCTGCTGGAGGTGGCTGGTGATGGCATTTCCATCTGTGGGCTTGATCGCCCCTCCCAGCCACATGCCAGATGGAGGGTGTGCACCTTTGGTGGTGGGCTGCGGACCGTTCTGTGGCCAGACCCGAGGCACTCTGGGTATGCATTTGAGGCAAGGCTTCACTGAGATGAATTGCAACCCCCAGGGTTTTTCAAAAACCATATTTATAGAAAGTTTAACTATTTTGTTTAATAAAAGGTGATACAAAACCACACCCTGTCTTTGTCGCTCCTGCTGCCTTTAGGGGCTTCGCAGCACCGAGACGACGTTCTCATAGGTTCCGTGGCTTGCAGGGGCCTTGCTGGCCAAGCGTCTGCCTGTGCTCTGCGGGTTCTCACTCCTCTGTCTCCCGTGCCAGCCAGGGCATCATGGGGACCCCAGATGAGTGTCCTTCACTTTCTGGGAAGAGCACAGCACATGGGCTTAGCAGATGTCATGTGGTTCAAAAAAGCCAGAGCTGACCACAGTGTGACTCAAAGGTAAATCAGCCAGGCGGCCAGGCCACGTGAGGGTCCCAGAGAAGCAGAGAGCCACGTCGAGCCCTTTCCAGAGAAAGGCGCCCCCTCCTGGATCCACTGTTACCATGGAGTTCATCTGCCTTCCCTGCCCACCAACCCCACTGAGCTGGGTGTCACCAGGCTGCTTTGTGATCAGGAGAGACAAGGCCGGAGGGTGGGTTCTCGGTGGTGGGGGTGGCAGAGACTCGTGGTAGGGGCCGGATGAAAGGCGGACTTGATTAGTATGGCTCTGAACGAGAAGGAGGGCTGCGCTGAGGACAGTGGCTGGACTGGCTGAAGTATGGCTGGCAGCGTGGGCTTAGCTAGGTGGCCTCAGCTCCCTGGGACTGGCTGACTTATGTCACTCTGTGGGATCCAGGGTATCGGGGCCGGCCTTGGTTGTTGGGTACCTGGCCCTAGGACAATTAGGCTGGTGGTGGCCTGGGAGTGGAGGAGCCAGAGAAGTGGGGTGGGGTGGTGGTTAGTGGACTTTAGCAGCTACTCAAGAATGGGACCTAATGGGCCTCCAGCCAGGCCTGTAACACTAGGCCAAGACAGCATTTCTAACCCACTGCTCCTGGGTCTCTCCTGCCTCCCTGCTGGGTGATTCTGCTGGGTGACGAGTCAGGCAGGGGGCCTGCTTGAGCTTACAGAATGGCTGTGATCTGCCCTCTTGTGGTTGAACAAACGGGCTGAGGCATCGAGGGATGGTGGCAGCCCTCCTGTCGGGCAGCCCGGCCTCAGTTCCCGGGGGCATAACTGAGGTGACTATAAGGCTCTGTGGCACACAGCCTTCTCTTTCAGCTCCCGCAGTGTGAGGGTTTGGGGGTCATCCATTCATTCAAGAGTGTATACTGAGCAGCGATTGGGTGCCAGGGGCCATGGGAGCTGGCGGTAGGATGGTGAACTGAGCAGACCAAAGCCATTTCCTTACGTTGGGGAGTGAGACAAGAAAGGAAACAAGGAAGACCTGTGGTGAGTGAGTGAACAGGGTGGCCAGGGTCTGGGGCTGCTTGGTAGTGGCCCTGGCAGAAGGGGTTTTGATCTCTCTTCCACCTTCCTAAGGAAGTGGGGCGAGTGGCCTTCTAAGTCTTCCTAACCTTGCCCTCTGTTTGACTGTGAACGTCACTGAGCAACTTAGGGGAGTGTTCTGTAGCCTTCTTGGCTGCCAGGCCTCATGCTGAAGGCTCTGTGGGCCGCGTGTGAGAGGCTGTGTCTGGCTGGAAGTAGGGCCAGAGATTCCGCTGGTGTGGCCTTCACCTCTGCAACTTTCCTGCTGGGTGCACCACTGACTGAGGAACTGCTTCATGCGGGGACACCAGTGACAGTTCCCTGGGACAGTCGTGCCATGTGTGGGGAACTGTGTGAAACAGCCAGCTCTGCTTTGTAAGGACCACCTACCCCAGAACAGTGAGAGTGGGGTGACATCGTGCCCGGGACATTCTGCACCCAGCTGCCGATTATGCTCAGATGTCCCAAGGCTCTCGGCTGGCGTCCCACCTGGCCATGCCTCCTTGGCATTCGATGAGCTGGTTCCCCTCAGTCTTTAGACTTAGCTTAGAGGTGGCCCCAGGCCAGGCCCTGCTGGCCCTGTTTCTGCTTTGTACTTAGCTTAGAGGCGGCCCCTCGGGCCTCTGCCCTTTTCCCTCTCCCTGCCCTTTCCGTGAAGCACTGCACCTGAGCTGAGCCTTTGCTCCCGGCACAGGGACACCGCTGGCTCAGCTCGGCCAAGGCTCAGGCCACCATCGTGGGCCGGCCCGTATGACCTGCTCTGCCTGCGGACTCACACAGAACCAAGAAGCCCGGGGTCACCCTGGGGCCCTGTGTCTTCTGTCCCCGCACAGCTCCTTTCTGAGTGGAAGCTTCTCCCCGAAGGAGTCCCCCTGGCCCCCGCAGAACCTTCTCGACTCCCATGAAGGGGGCCCCTGAGCTCTAAACTAGATGGGCTTGCAGACAGAGGGTCGTTATACTCCCCATTCCAGTCGGTCACCGCCAGGGCTTATCTGAAAGAAGCAAGAGGTAGAATAAAGCCCCCTGGGACATTTTGGGGAGCACCCTCACCCCTAGCTGAAAACCAATGCATGGAAGCTCTGGGTTGCAAGGCCACCAGGCAGCTCCTTGGGCTGTTGTGTCCACATTCACACATGATGACCAGGGGCCACACTGCAGGCATGTTCTCATGGGTCTGTGGGACTCAGTTTTCCGGTTGGTAACTTGAGCAGCTTGGCCAAATCTCTGTAGACTGTGGCCATGATTTTAAAAGGACCGGTGCTTGGTAGGCATCTGACTGCTAACCAGAAGGCTGGCGGTTCAAACCCACCAGCGACTCCTCAGAAGGAAGGTTGGGCAGTCTACTTTCGTAGTGATAACACTTCAGAAACCCAAGAAGGGGTCGCTGTGAGTCAGAAACTATTCGACAGCAGTGAGTTTGGTTTTTTTGGGGGGTGCTTGATAGGCTGCCCTGGGGCCCCACTGGCTGCTGTACCTTCTTTGTGTGCTGGCCCTGGGCCTGTCGTCTCAGAGGTTGTCACCCTGGGCTTTATGGAAGGCTGGGTACTGTGCTAAGTCACTCTTTCCCCGTGAGAACCTGTGTCATGTTTGACAGTGGAAGTCAGCATCGATTCCGTTGGGGGAGCCCACTCAACATCAGGTCTTGGCAATTGGGGTGTGGAATTTGGCTCAAATTGACTCACTCAGCTTTAGCTTTAAGATTTACTGTGTGTTGGAGGCCAAAGCCCCCTGTGACTTGTTGGCTGCTGGTGGCTACTCACTGGCTTTGTGTTTTTTAGAGACTCCCACACACTGGTTGGGAGCTCTGGTAGCATAGTGCCTAAGGTACTTGACTGCTCACCAGAAGGCTGGTGGTTCAAACCCACCAGGCACTCCTCGGAAGGAAGGTTGGGCAATCCTACTTCCGTAGTGATACTGCCTCAGAAACCCAAGGAGGGGTCGCTATGAGTCGGGGGCCGACTCTACGGCAAACAACAACAACAGCAACAACACCACACTGGTTGCTGAAAGGGGGTCGGGCAACCCCCAGAAAATGCCTCCTGGGCTGCTGCCAAGTCTGATGGTGAGGTGGGGGCTGGCTGAACGGGAAACTTTCCTAGCTTTGAGCAGGACTCACAGGGCTGGGGCCCACAGGGGTTCAAACACCTGAGCAGTGAAGGGGCAAAGGGATGGACAATGAAGTACCCAATGGCTTTAGGCTCAACAGGAAGTCTGCATGGGTGCCAGGGGGTGGCACTGAATGGCAGCCCCACCTCTGTCTCCCCCCATCTGAGGCCAAAATACCAAAACCCACTGCCATTGGGTCGATTCCAACTGATAGTGACCCCCACTGGGTTTCTGAGGCGGTAAATCTTTAGGGAAGCAGACTCCCCTGTCTTCCCTCTGTGGAGTGGCTGGTGGGTTTGAACCACCTACCTCTGGTTCGCGGTCAGATGCCGTAGGCACTCCGCCACCAGAGCTCCTTTGCATCTGAGGGCACTGGCCTGGAAAGTTACTAAGGCCCTTCCTTCTCATGACAGTGTGTAACTCCTGCAGTTACAGACGCGTCCAGTGACCCCCGGGGCCAGACTGGCCTTTGAGCCCTGCCCATCCCACACACTCAGTAGCAACTGCCCCTCCTGCAATGTATGATGGAATGTATGACAATGTATGACGCAGGGTGAAGGAACCTCTCTGTTTCGCTCACCGTGTCATAAAGAACACGCAATACCCGGCGAGGATTGTAGGAGCCTTTCATTTTTTTTTTTTTTATACGCTGAAATTTTGGTCTATGCTTTAAATCAGGAAACGCAACTACAGACTTTAAATTATGATGCATTTGTGGTCTTTCTCATGAAGATATTTTTTTTGTCTTTATAACAGGCAGATAAAAATGTCAAACATATTTCATGACTGAACACAGTTGGCCAAGCCATTCCATATAAGATAGTGCTTTGTAAAGGGGGCTTTCCAGGTTCACCGGCCTGAAACCATACAAAGGCCAGAGGTGGAGGCCAAGGCGCCTCCCGGCCCCTCTCTTCACCCACATCCCAGCGGAAAGGCGGCCTTGCGCCAGGCAGCTTTGTACAGCAGCAGCGGGGAGGGCGGGGTGGCCCCGTGTGGGCTGTGCGCTCCCGGTGCGCCTGCAGCGAGCCGGGCTTGCCTTCTTCGCTTCGCACGTTGAGCTGCGGCTCTTGAGGAACACGAAGCCCCGCAGCTGAGTTGCCTTTTTTGTTGTTTAAACAAAGGACATTAGGAAACAGTTTACAAATGGGTGACATTCGCAACGTGCCCTTTAGAAAAAAAGGGATGGCTTTAAATGACCAGCAGCTGGCATTGAAAGTGGGGTTTTTGTTTCCAACAGATTCTTCTGCCGAGCTCTGACTAACCCCGCTCAGAAGTGCCACAGGAGTAAGGGAGCAATGGGCACTGAGCGTGTTTCCATGTGGCTGGGCACGGGATGCCGCTCGCTGAGACGGGTGGGGGTGCGACAAGCCCTCTGTAGCACGGGAGGGGACAGCTCGACTTCCAAGGGGCCGATCTGCACCTTGCCCCTCAGCTTGTCTCCCAAGCCTGCAAAAGCGAGAGCGGCCAGTTGGCGATGTGAAGAAAGTGCGTGGCAAAGTACCTCCTGCTTCCCTGGCATCGCGTGGTGCCTGGACTTGGCTTGACTCGAGTGGTGGCACTGCCACTGGCCCTCCAGGACTCTGCTGCCTGATTTGTGCTCAGGAGGAAAAGTTGGTGGCTAGAAGAGTGCTTTGGCCGGTGGTGTGTGAGGACATGTTCCCAGTCGCTTTAGGGGTGCCTAGCACCCCGTGGCACACCCTGGAGGTTGGCCAGGGAGAACTTGGCATTCACCAAAGCAAGAGTATAGCAGGAGGTGCCAGTCCTGACCCCATTCACCCGGGCAGCTCCTTTGAGTGTGACTCTGACCTCCAGTGAAGGCTACTTCTTTCTGACTGTGAACTTGGCATCGGTGCAAGATGTTTACCAGCTCTATTGGTGGTGTCTGGCTGTTGCCCCTGACACAGTCTCACCCACCCCCCGGATTCCAGATCTTTCCATCTGGGTCAGGTGTGGGCAGGGGGCAGGCACAGGAGCTGACCTGGCTCTTGAACTTGGGGGTGTGACCCTGAAAAGCTCAGCAGCCAGAATGAAGGATCTGGAATTGGAGGTGTGACCCCAAGATGCTGCAAACCGAGCTTCCCCACCACGCACGCACGCACGCACGCACGCAGGCACCCGCGCAAGCCGAGCCTTGGTCTCCCCCGGAGTGTGCTTCCTCTGTAGGCGGGGCCTCGGGGCCAACCTTCCTCCGCTAACCGCCCTCTTCCTTCCGGCCTTCTCAGGCGGGAATCCCAGCGACAGAGGGACGGGTGGCGATGCGGGGAGTGGACAGAGGGCTGAGAGTCACCAGGGGGTGGGATTTGGGACCAAAATATGTTCATCCAAAAGATACCCTTGCAGTCTAACTCCCTGCAAGGAAAAAAAAAAAAAAAAAACCGCTACAATAAATAATGAAATTTCAAAATGAAAATGCTCGATAAGAGGAATGGATACAGCATGCCAATGAATAGGTCCTATTACTGAAATATGCATCTGGGAACATAGATATATACCTATATGTGTATATAAATATAAAAGTCCACGCATAACATCTACTGTCTGTCTCCCCACGCACACTCACACATACTAGCGGTGCCGACATTTATCCCGGGGCTCCTGGAGGCCGCGCCGCCTCTTTGTGGCTTCCTGGGGTGGACCATCCGCTGGGCTGATGGGTGGGCAGGGCAGGAGGTGGTGTGGGACGGGACAGCCTTCCCAGCCAGAGCGCACCTCGTTTTTTGGATTAATTTGCTGCTTCGGTCGCTCCTCCTAGGCCTCAGCCAGCGCCCGGCCCAGTGCACAGCCCCAGTGGCGAACACATAGTGGAATGGTAGGGTTGTGGTGGTTGTTGTTTTTTTTTTTTTTTGTGTTTTTTTTTTTTTTTTTTAAAAAAAGCCTCGCTAGAAAAACAGGTGGGGCCACAGCTCTTCTCCCTGTCGCGCTGCTCACTCTTCCCTGTTGGCTCCAGAGCTCTTCCTCCGAGGGTCTCGGGTAAAGGCGCCGGTGGCGGGCCGCACCCTAAGTGCATGGATTCGCCTCCCTGTAAATGACGTGCAGGAAACGTCTTCTGCCGCCTTGGGTGCTTCCGTCTTTTGTAGGTATGAGGTTTTATACCTGTGAGCATGGGTGAGTCCGAGTGGGTGTGTCTCCGTGTGTGTGTGTGTGTGTTCGTGCGCGCGTGTGTGTGCACGCGTGCGTGCGCACGTGTGCAGCGGAGGAGAGAAGTTCCGTTAGAGTGACGTCTCCACGCTGTGGAGGGGGCTTCCGGGCCTGGAAGAGGTAGCTGACTTGCTGGCAGACGTGGCCAGGTAGATGCCGCTGTCTATGGCGTTGTTGTTCTTATTGGGTGACGGGGGTGGGGGCGCGCGCAGGCGCTCCTCGTTCTCGTCCACGTCCGTGTCATCTATGAGGGGGATGTTGTGGGTATAGTCGTTGATGAGGAACTCGGGCGTCGTCATGAAGTTATGGATGGAGGTCTTGGAGTCGGGCTTCTCCAGGCCCTCGTAGAGGGAGCTACGGAAGGCTTTCACCACCCGGATCTGGTTCAGGAGGCAGGGCCGGAGGTCCCCAGGGGCGGGGAGGGGAGGAAGGAGAGGAAGGAGAGCGTTAGCGGGGGCTGCACGGTCCGCTGGAGGGGTGGATGGAATGGGTGGCTGCAGGCCTGGCTGGGGGAGGGTGTCCTGCTTTGACACTCGCCCTCTGGTCAACTGACCCTCATGCAGGGGCTTTCTCTGTGCCGGACTCCTGATGCACCCGCCCGGCTCCCGGCCCTGGATGGAAAGCTGCCATCTGGACCCTGGGGTCGCTTCCAGATCGGAAGTCCGTGTTAGTGTCAAAGGGAGACGGCTGGAGAGTGCTTCCCTGGCTGCTCTGGGACCTCGATCCACCCCCAGACCTCACCACCAGCCTCCCTGCTACTCAATCCAGCGGCCATTCTGTGCCTCTGTCTTAGTCCCCTCAAAGGCACTTGACACAGTGGGCCACCCCTTTCTGGAAATGCCCTCCTCCAGCCTGCTTCCCTGACGTCACATCCTGGTCCACCCCCTACCTCCTCTGTCCCAGGAACCGCCCCCCCCAACCCCACTCTGGCCACAGTCCCTTCTCTCTGTCCACAACCCAGGCCCATTTCCTAGTCCTGAAACCCCTGCCAGCCACCACCAGGTAACTCCAACCTGGGGGCTCTGAAGCACCTGAGACCAAAAATGTGGCCCTACTTTTTTGTAGCCACCAAGCCTGTCCCTGCTCAGATGAGACATTCCTCACTCTCCTACTCCTGCCCCTTTGCTCCACTCCCCTTGTATCCTGTCATATAGGTCGTGCCCTATGGCGGGCTATGCTGCCCACCTCTGCCAGGCTGTCCAGCCCTCAGGCCGGTGGGGCTCCATCCTCACCACCTGCAGGAGTTGGACCCGAGGCTGACATTCCCAGCTGGGCCCTGGCCACCAGTCGGACCCTTGTGTCTCTCTGAACCCCCAAGCTGCCACCTCATTGCTCCCTCCTTGGCCCCCAGTCTGGGCGCCCTCATGCTTCTAGAAGTCCATGGGCAGGCCTGCACAGGCTGCCTGGCTTCCTGGTGACACTCAGCAGGAGCCAGCCACCCTGCCCACTGGGACACAGGTCCGCCCTGCATGGAGCCTGAGGCGCTTGTCAATAACCTTGAGTGGGGGATGCCTTAAGAGCTCAGAGGTTGTTTCCATGTCCAAGTCCTAGGATTTGATTGTTTTTAGATTAGACCAGGTGTCTGAAATCTATGGCCCGAGGGCTAAATCCCACCTACCCTGGTTTTGTTGATAAAGTTTTATTGGCACACAGCCACACCCATCTGTTTCCACATTGTACCTGGTCTCTTTGCTGGCAGGGCTGAGCTGTCTCAACAGAGATCCTCTGGGCTGCAAAGTTTTGCTACTTCACAGGGAGAGTCTGCCAAGCCCTAGTTTACACAATGAATGCCCATCGACAAGCAGGCCTGATGGCATCGGGCCCTCTGGCCAACTCGGGCCAACAGGCACAGTTGCCCCAAATCAGGTTAAGCAAGGGAGTAAGACGCTGCCGTGAAGTCCAAGCGCTTTAGATTTTCCGTGCACTTCAGAAAGCCAATCACATGCTGTCACTAGGGCCTCTAGCCTGACAAACCAGTTTCTAAATTGGGGCTAACACAGAAACGGAGAAGTTATTCTTGCTTTACATTTTTAATGACTAGACACAGTGCACTTTCTGGAGCTAACTCAGTGGTGGCTTCTGTCATTAGGCTGCTTGTGACTACAGCCCAGCAGCCACCCAGGCCACCCGCTGTGGAAGCCCAGGAAGGGGCAAGAGCTGCCTGGTGCTTCCGGAGCTCTGGGGCCATTTGCCAGAACCATGTGCCAGCACTGCCCTTTGTGATTTGGCCCATGCCCCATCCCTCGGCTGAGTCAGTTGCCTCCTTTGGCCCTGGCTCACATGACCAGACATGAGTCTCCTGTCACCTCTGGGCAACCCCAGAGCGTGGCACATAGTCATCACCACGCAAACCACGAAAGGGGCAAGGGCCACCCACCACACAGTCTGCTCTTTGAGGTTCCGAGCAGTGAATCAGGCCCCAAGTCCTGCCCAGCTGGTGCTCACCTGGCTGTCCTCCAAGCCCTGCCTTGAAATCTTGGGCTGTTACAAAATGGTGTCCTACTGGCTTCCCAGTGATACCAGGAACACTGGTTCATGGAAACCCACCAATCCTCCCTGTGACCTTTCCCGGAAGTCCGGAATCCAAGGAATGGAGTATCAAGACATCCAGGGAAGGCTCAGGGAGGGAGGCTCGCCAGTAGCTTCCACCTCCCTCTGTGTGAGGCCAAAGGTCCCACAGGGAGCCACCATGTCCCAGTTCTGCCTCCTCTCTGCTGGGCAGCCTGCTGGGCTCCCCTGCACGGGCACCGCCTGCCCCTCCGCCCACTGAAGGACATGGCTCAGAGATTCGCCCCACTTGGAGTCTACACTGCCTGTTGTCTCTCTTGGTGGCACGTTTCCCTGCGGCTGTGGCCCCACTTCTCTTGTCTTCTGGACAAACATGTCTGTATTCACTGTCTAGACCCCCTCCTCCCACTCTCTCAAAGCTGCCC